GGTCAAGAATATATCATGAGGAAAAAAATAGATTTCCTATACCCATTGCAACTCCGTCTAAACAATACACTGCAAGAAATATTTACAATTTCTCAAAACAGTGAATAATCTGCAAACGAGCTTATCCCAACAAAACTATGTTCTCTTGTAGAACGCAGACATGTCATTGCAGCAATACACAAAATAATCCACAATCATTGACTCTGAATCCCTAACTAGACCTTTAGACTCAAATCAGCTTATAGGAGTTGGGATCTTCAACTGGCTTAAGGCTTATAAGAAGCTATATTATAGTGTATTAGTGTTTTCAGGAATAAAGATCGAAAAAACTCCAATGATGGATTATAGAATGCAATTCAAACTAGATTTTCAAGATCCATAAACTCCATAGACAAGTCTAACCATAAATTATACAGCAGGAAACTTTACAACTACTTATAAGTCATAACAGTGGATAATCCGATAACAAGCTCATTCAAGGTTTCTAACAAGACTGTTAACTGTGTGAGACAATATAGTAATCCTAAACACAGAACAATTTGTATGCACATATTGTAAATTCTTCTTTGAAATCAGAATTGGTGACGATGATTGGTTTTATGAGATTTCTGTTCTCTCCATTACATTGACTCTTCTACAACTTGCACCTCTCTAGTAATTTTGAGAAACTGTATAATCCTCGAATGCTTTAAAATTTTCCAAATACGAATTTAGCAAACTACTTCATCTCACGGATTCTTGCACTCCTTCCAACATTTGTTAAGTCCAATTCACATTGGAATTGATTCATGTCTTTCTCTTACAGCCCAATTGCATGTCAATTCAAACAGAGATCATCCAAAATAAGCAGCTAAAAAGATAACCTAGACACTATTCCAAAAGCCAAAGAGCTGCTCATTCCTTATCACATAGCATCTTTTTGGCATTCACCAATGCAAAGAAGTGACACTCATTTTCATCATTATGGTGTGGAGACGATGATAACATAAGGACGGAACTTGAAAATGTAACTGTAGAACTTGGTTTTGTAACCCTGCCTCTTTCAAAAGTTAAAGACATGTAAACTAAGAAGCTCTTGATTGTTCGATGGGGGTAGATATGTGTCAATTAAGTACAGCATATTTGAAGGAAAGACTACTCCACAGCATGTCAAGAGACATTTTGTGCCTCAATCACAAATTTATCACTTACCTTAACAGAATTATGATCAAGTTGAATTGCTCTCCTACAGTCCTCTTCCACTCTTGTCCAGTCACTGACAAAGAAGCCAATACTAGGTAAAACACAACTAATCACCAAAAAAATATAATACGGAGTAAACCAATGCAGCTCAGAGATTCATACTCCCGTTTCCGATGGCACAAAGCACGATTTGTCCAGTAAATGGGAACATTAGGGCACAGCGTAATCGCCTGAAATTGAAGATTGAACAATGCATTTGACAAATCAAGTGGAACATAAATGGATCGAAAGCCATACTAAACCATGTGGATATATATATATATATATACCTCAGTATACGCATCAATGGCTGCAGCAAACCGGTTCTTCTGGTAGCAGTTGTTCCCATCTTGCTTCAGCTGTTCTGCTTGTTCGGCGGCAGAAAGCAAAGGTGCCATCTCCTTCTGTCTCGCGTCCTATTCCTCTGAAAAACCCTACACCGCTCTAATGCCGTCTGGTTGGAGTATTTCTTCTATCTGAAGAAGAAAGCGACCTGTAGCCAAAAGTTGGCGAAATTATAATGGGATTCTGAAACTCCGAACAAGATTCCAGATTTCCAGATGCTTTTTACAGGACAGTTCAGAGGGCGATTCCGCGAAATCGAGGAAACCATCAAAGCTCTGTTGCCTTTTCCATTCTCCAAAGGAAAAGGCAAAAGAGCTCTTTTGCGTACAAGACTTGAATTCAATTGAAGCGACAAATGCGTTTATCTCATTCGCCATCATCAATTGCGTAAAAAGATAAAAATGGTACGGCTTATATTGCCTGAAAATCTGGGGCCAATCCTCAATAGTCAATACTATGTACTCCGGAGTATTTTGCATCCTTGTAAAAGTTTTAAGTTGTAACACATAATTGTAAATTTGTAATGCATTCCTACTTGTTAAAATTATCAAAATCCATCCTAAAAAATGTACAAAATATTTATTGACACCTATCTTCTATTTCTTTATCCAAAAATAAAAGATCTCTGACTAATCGTTTTTACCTAAAACAAATTTTCTAAAGAATTTATTTGGTACATGGAATTGACGGAAATAAAATTGAAATTTTATAAAATTAAATTGGAAATTTTTTATTCTATCTATTTTAAACCATGTATTTTTGTACTACCAAATAACGAATTTAGAATTAAAAACATCAATTACAATTCTATGATTTAAATTCAGTGTATCAAGCGAAGCCTACAAAATTTTTCATACGCAATATATCCAACGTAATTGCCAAAAGACATGATTGTAGTTAAACTAGGCAAAAATTTTCAAAAGATGGCTCTCACGGATATTGCAAAATGATGGTGTAATTTTGACTTGGTCAAACGAGCTCTACCTGAGTACCAGATAAGGATAACATGCAAGATCCAACAAAAATGATCTAGACCAGGAAAGAATTCTTATGGCTGAACTTGTATTTCTTTTATCTCAAGAGTGTACAAGTTTGTCTGAGAATGAATAAATGTCATGTAACGCCCCGAAACATACCCTAGAATTATTATTAAATAATTATTCGATTAAACAAATTTGTTTTGATTAAAATAAATTGCTGTTGAGCTTTGGGCTGATACGAAATATGTTTTGATATCTATTATCACACTCTGGATAAATCTCATATAGATAAATCCAATATATTGACTTTTTGTGTGGTCTTGATTGGAAACCTGAGTACAGACCCATATTAAGAATAAATGAAGAAATTGTTTATAATGTGAACTTTGAAATGATATTTTGAAATAAATCATAGAAATAAATAATATGAATTAAATGTGAGAACCTTTTTGAATAAAAGTCAATTAAATCAATTTTCACTCTGTCAAAGTCAACCACCCAAAAATATGATGTCGGAAAATGTGTTACAAATAAATATAAAAATTATATTTATGGATAGAGTTTAACTGTCTGACCGCAACGGTGCAAACGGAATTCAATTCGAAGAAAGTTGGACCAAAAAGCGTACCCTGACTGGAACCAAATTGGTCCCAATCAGGGAACGGCGTGTAGATCAATTAGAATCGCCGTCCTGCGCACTAAGGAATTTCTACGTAAAAATGAGTCAGCTACCAATGTCTTCTTCCCCTTCTCTTCTTCTATATAAGGATACTCCATCCTTATCAATTTGACACCAATGTTCTGGAAAATTATACCATTGTGTTCATAAGAGTGAAGGGAGCAGTCTGGTGTTGTTGCTTGCCGCCGAAGTCGCCGGAGTGGGGAGTAATCATCGCCGGAAGTTTCGCCGGAAAATTTCCAAAACATCCGTTAAGCTTCGAGGTAAGCCCGTAGATATATCTAGTGACTAGAATGTTCATATAGATTGTTTCTACGTTCATAAACGGTCGTTTGATTGAGTTTTGTGTTTGACATGTTTGAAGAACCAAGAATCATAAACAATTAAATTGTTGTTAAAATTACGAATTAATGACTCTAAAATGATCTGTAAACATTGGAGAACATTTTTATATAATTAAATTGAAGTTTGGTGATTAAAAATGATAATGTTAAAATTGACCCGAGGAAGAAGATGATGAACAGTGGCCGAAAATCGATTATTTACTTACTAAAAATCGATTAGAATTTTATTTAGATCAGTGGTTCGAAATCAGTACCATTTAATTGGTTATTTATGTTATAAAAATCGATTATTATGAATTAATTGATTATTTAAATTGTAAAAATCGATTATTGTGAATTAATTGATTATTTAAATTGTAAGAATCGATTATTATGAATTAATGGATTATTTAATTTGTAAAAATCGATTTTTTATGAATTAATCGATTATTTATATTGTAAAAATCGATTAAAATTAATTAATTGATTATTTAAATTGTAAAAATCGATTATTATGAATTAATTGATTATTTAAATTGTAAAAATCGATTATTATGAATTAATGGATTATTTAAATTGTAAAAATCGATTTTTTATGAATTAATCGATTATTTAAATTGTAAAAATCGATTATAATGAATTAATTGATTATTTAAATTGTAAAAATCGATTATTATGAATTAATGGATTATTTAAATTGTAAAAATCGATTTTTTATGAATTAATCGATTATTTA